AAGCACATGCAGGGTAAAAAAAACAAAGTTAACTAAACTTCAGTTGCATGCACAGCCTAATGAAAGGGAAAGTAAGAAGCGGTGACAACAGACACTTTCCGTGGTAATCACATAAATGTCATTTAAACCAAACTATTTTAGTTATAATTGTTATTAATTTACTGTGTGTGCATTAAATGTTTTTGACTATCATAAAAAATAACATATTTGAAAAAATGTAGTTGTAAATAATTAATTTTGAACAAAATTTCTATAATTTTAAATTGTCATATCAAGTCATTTATTATTTTTCTGTTATCAAACTTTTGTAATAAAGACATAGTTATAATATCTTGGGAACATGTCTCAGATTTTGTCTATCTTTTCTCAAAAAAAAAATTACGTAAAGTCAAACATTTTAGGCGACTTTTTTCACCATACATATTAGTAAACGTAATCAAAGATAATTAAGTCGCGGATTGAGCAAACAAACATCCTTGACACTGTTCCCTTTGTAAATGAGTTCCCTTTTATGTGCTTTAAACCGCATGTTAATTGCTTGATTATTAAAAAAGTTATGCCGATTCAAAGTTAGTCCGATCCGCATTAAACGAAGTGTCATAAATTGGCTGTTCTCTCTCGGACCCCTACGTTTCACGCTAAATAATTACATAATACACAAATATCGCACCAGAGAGGGTCACAAGTTGCGGTAACATACACTAACAACATTTTATGACCCAGTGACATCTGACCAATTAAAAAGTTGCTGATTAATATCAGTTTATAACAGAAATTTCTTCACATCTTAAACGTGATTTACCGTTAGTCTGGTATCGGTTGCACATGTCACGTGACTTTCGGTAAAATTTGAGGCACTCGGTGGGGGGAAATGGGACGTATTTGTGCACCGCTAGCGGGGTATTTAATTGTTTCACATTTGAAGTTTATTATTATTATCATCAGCATTATTATTATATTATACCAGTGTCACTCTATCTGTGTACTCGTGTATGAAATTCCGTTAAAATATAAATTAAAATAACAAAAAAACTGAGCTTCTGACAGTATTTTAAAGTCCATGGTAGATGTACAAATAAGAACGGGATTTTATATATTTTTTCCTCCAAATTGATATAAATGCTTCACATATTTTAATAGAAATAAAAGGTATCACTCGATCATTATGATCTGACCTTCTTGACTTCTATTATCATGAAAATCATCTATGCACGGCATAGAGATCCAGTTTCTACTGGGATATACAATAAATTCCAAACTTTCTCCCAGGTTTATTAGTACTGTGTTCGATTTACTAGCGAACAATTTATTCAAAGCATTCACTGATAATTTATTTTATTATCTTTTTTTATTGATTCATAGAGAAATAATCATCCTTAGACAACCGAAAATGGTTTAGAAATTTGTCAGGGAGACCTTACCACAACTCATATAGGCGTTCACATAAAAAATGTTGTCTGTTTTTGTTGTTGTTTTACTTGACATTGTTAGAAAACGAGGTTGAATGTAAAGCAAGCCCTTGAATCCGTAGAAAAGTCCATAAACTCAATGTAATATCTATCAGATTAACGGGACAGACAAATTATTTTCACACATTATGGATATTTTAGCAACTATATTTTTAATCAACCCCGTGGTCGTGCGATTTGTCGCTATGCTTAGTTATTTATGTTTCATACATTATGTTACGTACATTGGCCGACAATTTCTTATTTTATAAAAAAAGCTAAATAAAAGGTAGACGATATTCATAAAAGATGTACGGTATTTGTACGATACATGAATTACGAGTAGTATGGACCATTATGGACCGGTAATTCACGCATATATGGAACTACCGATTTCCCTCATTAATGCCTCAACAGGGGGCGGAGCGTTATCGATAATTGACAGGTTACGCGATAGCAGATAAAAATAGTACAGGTACCGTTTTAAAACGTTTAAAAACACATTTTTTGGACTAACTGCTTCCAAAATTAAACCACGAATGTGTTCAGAAAAGGTTGATAAATATACTAAGCAAAAAATCTCATTTTAGGTATTTTCAGTGATAATTGACTCCGTTGTCACCTTAATTAGAACAAACATATAAGCCAAGACAGCAAAGATACAACTTAAGCATAACAATACAGGGTTTAAAGGCAAAATAACATACAGCATTTAATCAAAGCAAACTAAAAAGGGATGCACACTTACAAACGTGCAGTCTTAGCAAAACTAAGCAAATTAACAGACACATAGCAAATTTACAGACACATAGCACATTTACAACTAGGGCCACACCAGACCTTTATCAGGTATTACCATCTCATATGCAATTACACCAAAAAGAATTTAATAACATGCATAAATAATTGCAGAATACTGTATAATGATACATTAATGGGACTTATTTTGTCCAAGATATAGGACTGCCATTATGAAACGTATAATATGAAATACTTTAAGGTGACAACGGAGTCAATTATCACTGAAAATACCTAAAATGAGATTTTTTGCTTAGTATATTTATCAACCTTTTCTGAACACATTCGTGGTTTAATTTTGGAAGCAGTTAGTCCAAAAAATGTGTTTTTAAACGTTTTAAAACGGTACCTGTACTATTTTTATCTGCTATCGCGTAACCTGTCAATTATCGATAACGCTCCGCCCCCTGTTGAGGCATTAATGAGGGAAATCGGTAGTTCCATATATGCGTGAATTACCGGTCCATAATGGTCCATACTACTCGTAATTCATGTATCGTACAAATACCGTACATCTTTTATGAATATCGTCTACCTTTTATTTAGCTTTTTTTATAAAATAAGAAATTGTCGGCCAATGTACGTAACATAATGTATGAAACATAAATAACTAAGCATAGCGACAAATCGCACGACCACGGGGTTGATTAAAAATATAGTTGCTAAAATATCCATAATGTGTGAAAATAATTTGTCTGTCCCGTTAATCTGATAGATATTACATTGAGTTTATGGACTTTTCTACGGATTCAAGGGCTTGCTTTACATTCAACCTCGTTTTCTAACAATGTCAAGTAAAACAACAACAAAAACAGACAACATTTTTTTATGTGAACGCCTATATGAGTTGTGGTAAGGTCTCCCTGACAAATTTCTAAACCATTTTCGGTTGTCTAAGGATGATTATTTCTCTATGAATCAATAAAAAAAGATAATAAAATAAATTATCAGTGAATGCTTTGAATAAATTGTTCGCTAGTAAATCGAACACAGTACTAATAAACCTGGGAGAAAGTTTGGAATTTATTGTATATCCCAGTAGAAACTGGATCTCTATGCCGTGCATAGATGATTTTCATGATAATAGAAGTCAAGAAGGTCAGATCATAATGATCGAGTGATACCTTTTATTTCTATTAAAATATGTGAAGCATTTATATCAATTTGGAGGAAAAAATATATAAAATCCCGTTCTTATTTGTACATCTACCATGGACTTTAAAATACTGTCAGAAGCTCAGTTTTTTTGTTATTTTAATTTATATTTTAACGGAATTTCATACACGAGTGTACACAGATAGAGTGACACTGGTATAATATAATAATAATGCTGATGATAATAATAATAAACTTCAAATGTGAAACAATTAAATACCCCGCTAGCGGTGCACAAATACGTCCCATTTCCCCCCACCGAGTGCCTCAAATTTTACCGAAAGTCACGTGACATGTGCAACCGATACCAGACTAACGGTAAATCACGTTAATATGTGAAGAAATTTCTGTTATAAACTGATATTAATCAGCAACTTTTTAATTGGTCAGATGTCACTGGGTCATAAAATGTTGTTAGTGTATGTTACCGCAACTTGTGACCCTCTCTGGTGCGATATTTGTGTATTATGTAATTATTTAGCGTGAAACGTAGGGGTCCGAGAGAGAACAGCCAATTTATGACACTTCGTTTGATGCGGATCGGACTAACTTTGAATCGGCATAACTTTTTTAATAATCAAGCAATTAACATGCGGTTTTAAAGCACATGAAAGGGAATTCATTTACGGAGGGAACCGTGTCAGGGATTTTTGTTTGCTCAATCAGCGACTAATTATCTTTAATTACGTAATATGTATGGTGAAAAAAGTCGCATAAAATGTTTGACGTTACGTAATATTTTTTTGAGAAAAGATAGACAAAATTTGAGACACGGTTCCCCAGATATTATAAGTATGTTTATTTTCCAAAAGTTTGATGACAAAAAAATAAAAAATGACTTTGATATGACGATTTAAAATTTTAGGATTTTTATTAAAAATCAATCATTTACAAAGACATTTTTTTCAAATATGTTATTTTTTATGATGATCAACGACATTTAATGCATAAAGATTAAATAAATAACAATTATTACTAAAATAAGTTGGTTTAAATGACATTTATGTGATTACCACGGAAAGTGTCTGTTGTCACCTTAATCGTCACATATTCGCTGTAACAAAATTTAGAAATATATATATGTAATATAACGTAGACCTAGTATATTTAAGGGGAGCGGTGGCCTAGTGGTTAAGGTGTCTGCCTCTCAACCCAGAGATCATGGGTTCGAGCCCTACTCGGGTCACGAACATGTTTCTTCATGTGACACCAGTACTGGTTGGTTCCAGGAAGCGGACTCGAAAGTGATTAATATAAGTTGCAAGAACTTGTTTCGCAATCGAGCTTAAATAAATATGTTTAAACCAGACCTAATATATAGGTCTTTTCTGTATATCATTTCAGCATTTTTTTTACAAAACGTACTGCAGTACTGTATAGTGTTGTTCTTTAGAACATCTATACTAGGAAAATGAACATTTATACTAGGAAAATGTATCATGTAATAACTTATCTATAGTCATTCAGGAGAAAAAAGACTTCATATACATAATCATACATGTATATGTGTTATGGGAAATTAACGCGTTAAACGTAGGCGAAATTCGTGCTACAGTTATAGCCCGTGTCGTAATTATCTGCTCCGCATCATTTGACTATCCGCCGTGTGTAGAGTAAGCCGCAAAGTGAGGTGTTAACCGGATAACACACATTTTAATTAGAAAACTGGAAACTTTTTTTAAAATCGTTTTGTATAATAATATAGTTTTGTGATATTGTTATTTTCATTTGGTGTGAAATATTTATACTCTTCAAGGTGGGTATATTTTTATTTCATTACTATTATTTTAGAAGAAAGAGGAGGTATTTGAAGTCACATGTTAATTGCTCTAATTTCGGATGACAACAAAATTGAAATAATCCGCTAAGTTAATATATGACATGCAGTAGACTTACAATATTTGACAGTCACCCCACATACTGATTTTTTCTTTTTGGTTTATATTAAATTTATTTCCTGGTTATTTTTATTAAAGGTAAAGTAGCGCACTACAAAACTATAGAATTTGTCAGTTTATGGTGCCAATAGATCTGTGTCTCTAATAAAATTCATATGTTATTTTAGTCCCGTTTCTTTTATATTTAGAAATAATAATAAAAATGCAAAAAACAAGACCCAATTTCAGAAATAGTTAAAGTAGATAAAAACTCCTCAATTTTTTAATTGGTTTCTCCCTGACTATAGTCGTGACTTAAAGCTGTTCAACACTCTTATCATCTAATCAGGTGCATGCACTGTCATTCTGTCTTGTTGATCATTGTGAAGAGTAATTTTTTGTTCATAGTAAATGTTTTAAATACATGTTTGTATAAGAGAATACAAACCAACTTGTAACCAACCAATTCTTTTTATGATACATGAAATGACATTTAATTTTTATTTAAAATATGCTTAATCTGTGTGTATATTCTAGGCCGCGCAATTGCAGAATTCATTCATAGATCGTGCACAATTTTTAAACATGATATCAAAACGTGTAAAATTTCCAGTTGGCCTGTTTGTTAACATGAACACTGGAAACTGAATGGAGATAATTCCAACCTAATTTAAAATCAATATATATATATATATATATTTTTTTTTTTTTTAAGTTTAGCCACTCATAGGCAACTCATGAAGCCATGAATATTTATTTCCATTCAAGAATCGGTTGAATGTGTCTGTGTTTCAAATTATTAAGGAAGTGCTGACATATATATGAAAATTTATGTCAGAGAAGAAAATACATATTTATTGGCTTTTTAACATTTTTTGGCATAGGCTAGCAGTTATTTGTTGATGAAACCGGTTGATGCTGGTTCAGAATCCTGTAACATTTGTTTGATAACTGCCCAATGTCTGGTGATACTTTAATGACTGAATTAATAAGCTCAGAACAAACAACCACATGGCATTGGAATGAACTCTTTGTGTTTTCCTCCTATTTGTTTCATATGAATTAGAATTGCACTAACAAGTTTTATGCAATTAAGGAAAAATGATTTAATGTTAGAATATGCAGGTTTCAGTTGAATTTCTGGCATGGTTTAATAGAAATATAATATATTGTCCCATAAAATACAAAAAATACGAGAAATATAATAATATCCCATTTTATACAAGTTATTCCTTTTTTTACGTAATATTACATAATATTTATTCAAGATTTCAAGTAGGTTGTGATGAGACTTTTCTAATTTCTAAGCCTTGCCACCTTTCTATACATAGATTTACTTTTAGATACCCTTAAGAATAACAAATTGATCTTGTATTTTTAAAGTATGACTTTTAAAAATAAGCCTTTACCTTTCAGAATAAAGCAAAAAGGATTGTTTACACATGAAGGTGTAACAGTTTAAAGGCTTCAACAAATAATGGACTATTGAAACCCCCGCTTGTTTGTTCCTGTTTGTTGCATTCTTAAAGTTTCTGTACCTTGTGATAAACGAGATATTAACATGAAACTTCATAGGTGCGTAGATCTTACTCAGGAGGTGTGCAGTGCACAAGAATGATAACTCTACCTTTCATAATTTTTGAGTTATTGCCCTTTGTTATTTTTCATACCTAATTTTTCACCTGAGTGGAGCATAACTCAAAAAGTGTTTGAGATATCAACATGAAATGTCATAGGTGGGTAGATCTTATTGAGGAGGAATGTTGTGCGCAAGAATGATAACTCTTCCCTATACAATTTTTTTAGTTATTGCCCTTTGTTTTTTTCATGCTATTTTGTCCAGAGCTTATCTCAAAAAGTATTTGAGGTATCAACTTGAAACTTCAAAGGTGGATGGATCTCATTGAGGAGGAGTGCAGTGCTTAAGAATGATAACTCTACCCTGCATTATTTTTGAGTTATTGCCCTTTGTTATTTTTCAAAATTAATTTTTGTCCAGAGCATAACTCCAAAAGCCTATGAGATATTAACATGAAACTTCATAGGTGCATAGATCTCACTCAGGAGGTGTGCAGTGCACAAGAATGATAACTCTACCTTTCATAATTTTTGAGTTATTGCCCTTTGTTATTTTTCATACCTAATTTTTCACCTGAGTGGAGCATAACTCAAAAAGTGTTTGAGATATCAACATGAAATGTCATAGGTGGATAGATCTTATTGAGGAGGAATGTTGTGCGCAAGAATGATAACTCTTCCCTATACAATTTTTGAGTTATTGCCTTTTGTTTTTTTTCATGCTATTTTGTCCAGAGCTTATCTCAAAAAGTATTTGAGGTATCAACTTGAAACTTCAAAGGTGGATGGATCTCATTGAGGAGGAGTGCAGTGCTTAAGAATGATAACTCTCCCCTGCATTATTTTTGAGTTATTGCCCTTTGTTATTTTTCAAAATTAATTTTTGTCTAGAGCATAACTCAAAAAGCCTTTGAGATATCAAAATGAAACTTCATAGGTGCATAGATCTCACTCAGGAGGTGTGCAGTGCACAAGAATGATAACTATACCTTTTATAATTTTTGAGTTATTGCCCTTTGTTATTTTTCATACTTATTTTTTCAATTCAATTTTTTTCTCAAAAAGTATTTGAGGTATCAACTTGAAACTTCATAGGTGGATAGATTTTACTGAGGAGGGATGCAGCACACAAGAATGATAACCTACCCTGCATTATTTTTCAGTTATTGCCCTTTGTTATTTTCAGCCATCAGTATTCACATAAATTTCAAATCTGTAATCACTATAGCCATCAGTTTTCATTACCAAAAGACCTCTTAAAATGGAATTATTCTGCTCTACTACATATACATTCTTCCAATGAGCAAACACATTCGGCGGGGGATGGCCATGTTGACATGGCTCTTGTTAAAATAGAAATCTCGTGCTGATTTAATTACAATGAAAATTATATGTATACTGTGAATTCACTTAATTTCGTGGACATGAAATTACGTGGTTTGTCACAAAGAAATTTTCATTGGTATTTAAATTTGTGGACTGTTTTTTTTCCAAAGGTAAAATGTCAATTATGTGATGAAAAAAAAACTTACAGCAGACATAATGAAATTTCAGTTTTTCTCAGAAGTTGAAACAGATTGGTTTTTTTGCACTGCTGTTTGGAATTCATTTTTTGAACATTAAAAAAAGGCCCTTTTTTAGGGGGGAATTTTTTGGGACTTATTTTAGTCCCTATTTGATGATTTGATGTTTTTCGTATTCATCATTACAGATAATTTAGTATGTGTTAAACATCATCTCCGTGATTTTTTTGTATAAAGTTATTTATCATAACCTCTGGCTGAACTTTTTTTTATGTATCAGGGACTATTTTTTTGTCATGATAATATCAGGGAAAATTTGTTTTTGTACAAGAAAAAAAAAATAAAATAAAAAAGATGTTCATCCAGATGGCTGTTGAATATGTGATACATTGCCAGTACAAAAAAAAAAAAAGAAAGAAAAAGATGAGTTTTTTCATACCACACAAAAAGGAAGAAATGTTTTCCCACGTTAAAGTGGATTGGTCTACGATTTCCACGAGTTTTTCAAATGTTGATAAAAACAACAGAAATTCAAAATAGGATATTATTATAGAATATTGTTTTTAAAAAAAGGATGCTTGCTAAAAAGTGATTTAGAATAAACATTTATACATGATGATGATGAATAATAATATTTTGTTCTATCATCATTTTTGTTGTTGAAAAATCGTTACTGACAAGAACCCGAACTTGGGGGATTTGTGTTTAACAAACACGTTCTTGTTTTTATCCTACATTTAACCAATGTATTTCTTTCTATGCTTCAACAATTTTAACAACATGTAAACTCCACTAAAAACGATAATGCTTATAACGATATACCGCTTGTTTTCAAATTGGTTGCTTCTAGGATATAGACAATTTCTGGAGATATATTACAATATAGATTCCACAGTCCCCTCTTTAGCGAAGTTTACAATAAAAAAAAGTTTCATTCTTAATAATTATTGTATGCTTTTTTTTTCTTATTTGTTACACTTGGATATTTTGTTTGCTTAATATTCTTGAATGTTTTCATTTAATGAAAATTTTATTATACAATATTTATGGAGTAATTTATTTATTATAATGTATAGTCTAGGGGGGGGAATAGACTGGTTTTATAGTTTATATCACCAGACTGGTTTTATAGTTTATATCACCAGACTGGTTTTATAGTTTATATCACCAGACTGGTTTTATAGTTTATATCACCTTCAGCTGATCAAGTAGACTGTCTCTCTATCGCACTCATAATTTCCCCTCTTTGATTTATGGGAAATAAAATTGCTGTTTTCCGTGGAATAAAACAGAACAAAACCATTCTACTGTGGATTTAATGCCCTATAAACTATCTTTAATCGAATTCTGAAACCATTCTTGATACTGTTTGTGTGAATGAATCTTTAATTATAAGAAAATTTATAGAGATTTTTTTTGTGGATGAAAAACAAGGTATTACATCATTTTAGCTCCATTTTTTTTATGACCTACATAGCTGCAGCGTTAGTTACCATTTCTGGTATACGTTTAAGGTTAGGGTAAAAACTTTTAAGATTATCCTTTTGGTTTAGTTTTTTTGGTTAGATTATAAAACATTAAAGGTAAGGACACTTTACATTGAAATTTAATATGTGTATGCTCATTGATGAGTTCTACCTGTTACACCCATTATTAGGTCACTGGGTCAAAGGTCAAGGTCACTGGAACCTCTCATAGGTAATAAGTTAATGTTTTTTTCCCAGAAAGTATCAACTGAAGGTATCTTAAAACTTGGAATACAAAAAAATGTACTTGTTTATTAGCAATATTAACATCATAATTATCCTAAGAGCAGCTAATCTTGCAAATTTTGCAAAATTACATTTTACTTTTTGACGAGGTTAACCTTTTTGTCAAGGTCAATAGATGTTTTTATACAGTTAACCTTTTTATCAGTTTTAAAGTTAATTTTGAAATATTTGTTTTTATCAGGGGGAGGTAATTCAGCAGATGTAATTTACAGAATTATGTCTTTTTAGGTTTCTTCTTCCCTACAATTCCCTAAGCACCATTGAGAAAAGTGGGGTATGCTGGCATACCTTTTGACAGCTCTTGTTTGAATTTTTTTATGGGAGAATTGTTAGTGAATGGCCTGATGAGAAATGGGTAATTTTTAAAGTAAGGCAGAAAAGCAGATGAAAGAAATTACCCTAAGTAGAGGACCTAGTGGTCCATAATTGGTTGCAGGGCATTTTACCCCAGTCTATCCTGGAGATTATGATGAAATCCGTGGTAATTTAGTTGCCTCGCAGTCCTACTTGTGATTAAAAAATTGTTAATTTCTTGATTTTTACCTCTTATGCAGTGGGGAAGAGATATATTAACAGAACTGATAAAACTGGGATAAATGAAAACTATGGTGGCTGATTTGGTACATTGCGTGAGGCGTTGTCGACAGCGACAACGCAACCTATATCGTTCTTGCTAGCGACAACACAACAAAGAGCTAAATGGTGCGTTGTTGTTTTGTCGTCCCATCTCTAGCAAAGCATGCCAAACAGCACGTTGTTTTGCGGTGCATTGTTGCGATGTCACCCTGTTGCTTGGCTTGTAAGACAAGCTGTTGTTATAAAAGGGGCACATTTCGTAGCAATGATGACAAAAAACAGTCAGTAAAATATCTTGTAAAAGACATTTATAAACAGGACACAACATATTTGTATGAACACAACATGCATTTTACTAAAATCAATTAAACAGGTATGAGACTGAATTATATACAAGAAAAGAGGGCTATTTATCAATATATTATTGTATTGTTGTATTGCCGATATTTGTCATCAGATATTGATGAATCAATGACAACTCTAAAGCTTTATGGAAATAACTTCATAATTAATGCAGCCATTACTATTTTGAGATAGTGACTTCAATTACAGAATCACAAAAGGCTGAAGAGTTGACCATTCTTCTAAAAAAAGATAAAAAAAAAATCATTATTTAATTGTCTGTTACGCTGCCCTTGTGTTGATTTTTATAGTGAAGCTCGTATCATAGTATCATGTAGGGGGTTGCTATAAATCATACAAACATGAATAGAGAGTTTAATTAATCATTGAATGAGTGATTTGATTGATTGATTGATTTGTTTTGATTTGATCGCTTGATTGATTTGACTGCTTGATTGATTGGTTGATTAATCTATTCATTCATTCATTCATTCGTTTGTTTGTTCATTCTTTCATTCATTCATCAATCATTCAATTTTTCATTCATTCACTATGAATTATTGCTTGAAAGGCCCAGACACATTGCACTCTCACATTTTAATCATTTAATTGTATAAAAAACTATATATAAATTATGGACCTACTTGTAGTGCATTAATACAGTATGCCATAATGGTGTTAGATTAAGGAAATATACACTTCATTCTCCTTAATGCTATAGAGGTATAAAAACATAATATCGCAATGATTAATGACTGTTCAATAAAAGCACTTTCATTATAGACCAGATAGCTTGTGTGCTGGTTGTTGTAATCCCCAAGTCTAGGATATAGACTTTACAATATAGAATGTACAATGTAGTAGAATGTAGAAAATAGAATAGTGAAGAATACGCTGGTAGTAGAATATAATAGAATGTAGAATACAGTAAAATGTAGAAAATAGAAGAATATACGCGTATAAGAATATAATAGAATAATAGAATTATGAATACAGTAGAATGTAGAAAATAGAATATCGTGCAACATAGTAGAACATTATAATATAATGTAGAGTATGGAAGAATTAATAGTATAATGTAGAATAAAGTAGAATGTAAAATGAAGTAAAATGTAGAATAAAGTAGAAGATAGAATAAAGAATAATGTAGAATATAGAATTTAAAATAGAATAGAATATATAATTTAGAATGAAGTAGAATATAAAAGGAAGAATAAAGTAGAATTTAGAGTGTAGAATAAAGTAGAATATATAATTTAGAATAAAGTAGAATAAAGTAGAATATAAAAGGAAGAATAAAGTAGAATATAAAATGTGCAAGACATACATGTACCTGCTCAAGGTCATTCAAAAGTGGAGCATTCTACTTTTACATGGGTATGCCATATTTTTGCTCTTGTCATGTAAAATTGTAATGTCATGCAGATTCTTAATATGCTGTTAATGTTATATTTTCAGATGTGATGCGTTTCTTTAAAGCCGTCAGTCGGTGTCGCCGACTTCAAATCAGATGACCGTAATTCCTCGGACATGAATCTTAGTTCAATAGTGTATTTGATCTGACAAAATATACATGCATACAATGTACATAACTAACTAAATAGGTAAGTAAACTTCATAATCTTTATTTAAACCAATATATATGTATTTAAGTTGATTTCAAAGCAATATGTCAACTGTATATTATTTTGACCTTCATCATTTATATCAATAAAGCCCCTCCTCCCCCTCTCCTCCCCTCCCACAAAAAAAAAGAATAAAAAAAAAAGAAAAAGGATAACAAAAAACCTTTGGCATGTTCCAGTCATTATTTATATGGGAAGGAAAACCATAGACACAAATTGGATATAATACAATATCTGGCAGCTATTATCACTAGGGGAGAGAAAATAACAGAAAATACGTAGACACAAAACTTCTCTTATGGCATCAATCATTATCTTGTTAATATAGGAATGGATATGTCTCATCATTTCCCAACTTGTCAATATCTGAGCCGCGTCACGACAAAACATAATGCGTTTGCGACCAGCATGGATCCAGACCAGCCTGCGCATCCGCGCAGTCTGATCAGGATCCATGCTGTTCGCTTACAATCCCTATTACAAGTTGAGAAACTGATAGCGAACAGCATGGATCCTGATCAGACTGCGTGGATGCGCAGGCTGGTCTGGATCCATGCTGGTCGCAAACACATTATGTTGGTTTTGTCATGACGCGGCTCATATGTCTCATCATTTCCCAACTTGTCAATATCTATTTTCCTCATTCTCTTTTTAATGTCTGGGAAGTGGATCAAAACAAAATTGATCATCAGTCCAGACAGTATTAGGACTGCTTCTCTATCTTGGCAAATCACTAGCTTAGAAAGTATTGATTGGTTCCTTAATTTTTGTACAGAAATAACATGACTTGCCAAAAAAGGGTGGTTCCTCATACAGAACTACGATAATTTTGCCAGACAGTCTAGTTACCTGAACAGATCTAATTAGAGTACTACACAAAAAAGGGTTGTTTTTCATACTGAATTTACAGATCATTTGCACATACAAACTGGTTCCATGTTTCACTGGAGTAAACAGGTCATTTCTTAATGCAGATCTAACAGATTACTTGCCCAAATATATGGTTGCCTGTAGAAATCACAGAATCGCTGGCACAGACAGGGTACGTGGTTATATATTAACAGATCACTGGCACAGGATGGTTCCCCAACACAGAACTAACAGATCACTATCTCTGACATGCTGGTTTCCTGTACAGAACTAATAGATTACTAGCTCTGACATGCTAGTTTCCCAATACAGAACTAACAGATCACTAGCTCTGACATGCTGGTTTCCTGTACAGAACTAACAGATCACTAGCTCAGACATGCTGGTTTCCTGTGCAGAACTAACAGATTACTAGCTCAGACATGCTGGTTTCCCAATACAGAACTAACAGATTACTAGCTCAGACATGCTGGTTTCCTGTACAGAACTAACAGATTACTAGCTCAGACATGCTGGTTTCCCAATACAGAACTAACAGATTACTAGCTCTGACAGGCTGGTTTCCTGTACAGAACTAACAGATTACTAGCTCAGACAGGCTGGTTTCCTGTACAGAACTAACAGATTACTAGCTCTGACAGGCTAGTTTTCCAATACAGAACTAACAGATCACTAGCTCTGACATGCTGGTTTCCCAATACAGAACTAACAGATCACTAGGTCAGACATGCTGGTTTCCTGTACAGAACTAACAGATTACTAGCTCTGACAGGCTGGTTTCCTGTACAGAACTAACAGATCAATAGCTCAGACAGGCTGGTTTCCTGTACAGAACTAACAGATTACTAGCTCTGACAGGCTAGTTTTCCAATACAGAACAAACAGATCACTAGCTCTGACATGCTGGTTTCCCAATACAGAACTAACAGATCACTAGGTCAGAACATGCTGGTTTCCTGTACAGAACTAACAGATTACTAGCTCAGACAGGCTGGTTTTCCTGTACAGAACTAACAGATTACTAGCTCTGACAGGCTAGTTTTCCAATACAGAACTAACAGATCACTAGCTCTGACATGCTGGTTTCCCATACAGAACTAACTGATCACTTTCTCAGACATGCTGGTTTCCTGTACAGAGCTAACAGATCACTAGCTCAGACATGCTGGTTTCCTGTACCGAACTAACAGATCACTAGCTCTGACAGGCTAGTTTTCCAATACAGAACTAACAGATCACTAGCTCTGACATGCTGTTTTCCTGTACAAAACTAACAGATTACTAGCTCTGACAGGCTAGTTTTCCAATACAGAACTAACAGATCACTAGCTCTGACATGCTGGTTTTCCTGTACAGAACTAACAGATCACTAGCTCAGACATGCTAGTTTCCTGTACAGAACTAACAGATCACTAGGTCAGACATGCTGGTTTCCTGTACAGAACTAACAGATCACTAGCTCAGACATGCTGGTTTCCTGTACAGAACTAACAGATCACTAGCTCTGACATGCTGGTTTCCCCAATACAGAACTAACAGATCACTGGGTCAGACATGCTGGTTTTCCAATACAGAACTATCAGAATACTAGCTCAGACATGCTGGTTTCCTGTACAGAACTTACAGATTACTAGCTCAGACATGCTGGTTTCCTGTACAAAACTAACAGATCACTAGCTCAGACATGCTGGTTTCCCAATACAGAACTAACAGATCAATAGCTCAGACAGGCTGGTTTCCTGTACATAACTAACAGATCACTAGCTCAGACATGCTGGTTTCCCAATACAGAACTAACAGATCAATAGCTCAGACATGCTTGTTTCCTGTACAGAACTAACAGATTACTAGCTCTGACATGCTAGTTTCCTGTACAGAACTAACAGATTACTAGCTCAGACAAGCTGGTTTCCTGTACAGAACTAACAGATCATTAGCTCAGACATGCTGGTTTTCTGTACAGAACTAACAGATTACTAGCTCAGACATGCTGGTTTCCTGTACAGAACTAACAGATTACTAGCTCAGACATGCTGGTTTCCTGTACAGAACTAACAGATTACTAGCTCAGACATGCTGGTTTCCTGTACAGAACTAACAGATTACTAGCTCAGACAAGCTGGTTTCCTGTACAGAACTAACAGATCACTAGCTCAGACATGCTGGTTTTCCAATACAGAACTAACAGATTTCTAGCTGTGACATGCTGGTTTCCTGTACAGAACTAACAGATTACTAGCTCTGACATGCTGGTTTCCTGTACAGAACTAACAGATAACTAGCTCAGACATTCTAGTTTCCTGTACAGAACTAACAGATTACTAGCTCAGACAAGCTGGTTTCCTGTACAGAACTAACAGATCATTAGCTCAGAAACGCTGGTTTTCCAATACAGAACTAACAGATAACTAGCTCTGACATGCTGGTTTTCTGTACAGAACTAACAGATCACTAGCTCAGACAAGCTGGTTTCCTGTACAAAACTAACAGATTACTAGCTCTGACAGGCTAGTTTTCCAATACAGAACTAACAGATCACTAGCTCTGACATGCTGGTTTTCCAATACAGAACTAACAGATAACTAGCTCAGACAGGCTGGTTTTCCTAATACAGAACTAACAGATAACTAGCTTAGACAGGCTGGTTTCTTAATACAGAACTAACAGATTACTAGCTCAGACAGGCTAGTTTCCTAATACAGAACTAACAGATAACTAGCTCAGACAGGCTGGTTTCTCAATACAGAACTAACAGATTACAAGCTCAGACGACAGGCTGGTTTCCTAATACAGAACAAACAGATAACTAGCTCAGACAGGCTGGTTTCTCAATACAGAACTAACAGATAACTAGCTCAGACAGGCTGGTTTTCCTAATACAGAACTAACAGATAACTAGCTTAGACAGGCTGGTTTCTTAATACAGAACTAACAGATTACTAGCTCAGACAGGCTGGTTTCTCAATACAGAACTAACAGATCACTAGCTCAGACATGCTGGTTTCCCAATACAGAACTAACAGATAACTAGCTCAGACAGGCTGGTTTTCCTAATACAGAACTAACAGATAACTAGCTTAGACAGGCTGGTTTCCTAATACAGAACTAACAGATAACTAGCTCAGACAGGCTGGTTTCTCAATACAGAACTAACAGATCACTAGCTCAGACATGCTGGTTTCCCAATACAGAACTAACAGATTACAAGCTCAGACAGGCTGGTTTCCTGTACAGAACTAACATATCACTAGCTCAAACATGCTGCTTTCCTGTACAGAACTAACAGATTACTAGCTCAGACATGCTGGTTTTCTAATACAGAACTAACAGATCACTAGCTCAGACATGCTGGTTTCCTGTACAGATAACAAGCTTAGACAGGCTAGTTTTCTAATACAGAACTTACAGATCACTAGCTCAGACAGGCTGGTTTCCTGTACAGATCACTAGCTCAGACATGCTGGTTTTCTAATACAGAACTTACAGATCACTAGCTCAGACATGCTGGTTTTCTAATACAGAACTTACAGATCACTAGCTAAGACATGCTGGTTTTCCTAATACAGAACTTACAGATCACTAGCTCAGACAGGCTGGTTTCCTGTACAGATCACTAGCTCAGACATGCTGGTTTTCCTAATACAGAACTTACAGATCACTAGCTCAGACAGGCTGGTTTCCTGTACAGATCACTAGCTCAGACATGCTGGTTTTCTAATACAGAACTTACAGATTACTAGCTCAGACATGCTGGTTTTCTAATACAGAACTTACAGATCACTAGCTCAGACATGCTGGTTTCCTGTACAGATAACTAGCTCAGACAGGCTAGTTTTCTAATACAGAAATAACAGATTACTAGCTCAGACATGCTGGTTTTCTAATACAGAACTAACAGATCACTAGCTCTGACATGCTGGTTTCCCAATACAGAACTAACTGATCACTTTCTCAGACATGCTGGTTTCCTGTACAGAGCTAACAGATCACTAGCTCAGACATGCTGGTTTCCTGTACCGAACTAACAGATCACTAGCTCTGACAGGCTAGTTTTCCAATACAGAACTAACAGATCACTAGCTCTGACATGCTGTTTTCCTGTACAAAAC